CAATTCTTTTACCATTGGCAGAATTTTTATATAATAATTTGGTACATTCTTCTACTCAACACATATCTTTTTTTGCCAATTATGGTCATCATCCACGTCTTGATACTTTTGACTTTTCAAAAGTTGATAATCCTGCAGTGGAAGATTTAACAAATTACTTATCAGAGCTATATACAATAATGAAGATACAATTAAAGGAAGCTCAAGAATGACAAAAGACCAATGCATATGCTTATTGCAAGGAGCAACCACAATATAATATGGATGATAAGATATGGTTACTTTGTTGTAATATCAAGACTACTTGTCTTTGTGATAAATTAGATTATCGTAGGCTCTGACTTTTTTATATTTGTGAAGAAATCAATTTTGTTGCCTATCGATTACATCTACCGAAATCTATGAAGATCCATCATGTATCACACATGTCTCTTTTGGAGCCGTATAAAATAGTGAATATCTTGGAAAGAAGACAAATGCCACCTCCTTCTATAGAAGTGGATAATAACCAAGAGTTTGAGGTGGAAGAAGTCTTAGACTCAAGGTGGCACCAAAATAGGTTGGAATAACTTATTCATTGGCGTGGATATGATATTAGTGAACGCACATAGGAACCATCAAAGAATCTTATAAATGTAGCAAAGAAAGTTGAAGTCTTTCATCAACAACATCCATCAAAACCAAGATGAAGAATAACAAACCTTTGCTATAAAAAAAATAAGATCAAAAGAAAATAACATTCTACCTTCTATCTTTTATTGTAGCTTTTGTATATTTGTGATGAGATGGAGCACCAACAATCAACAGATTCAACTCAAGAGCTTTTATTTGCGGACTTATTAGATGAGACATTGCAATTATCACAACCTTCAAGATGACATGTAGAATAGATATTAATTCATTTTTGAAAGATATTGGTAAAATATATTAATAGTCCATATAATAGGAAATTTAAGAGATCGGATGAGTGTTTTAGTTATTAAAAGTGATTAATTATAGAATTACAATTGGAATCTAGAGAATCAAAGAAAAGTATATAAGAGTTGTAGAAGTTAATTAAGGTGCCATCGGTGTGATAATTGTGAGCCGGGATAAGCTTGGTACTACCTCTTTTCTTTTATTTGTTATTTTCTTTGAATAAGAGGATTGAAAGTTTCTGAATATTGTGAAGTGAATTATGGAATGGAAATGTGATTAGTATTATTTGAGAAGAAGAAAGATTGAATGTTGAAATCTGATTATAGTTCAGCAGAGAGAATGAGTCTGTATTTGTGTGAAACACCGTAATATGAATGGCAGTTTTGTGTGAAGAATTCCAGTGATTGGAATGAGGGTAATTGTGTGCTGAAAGCTGTTAGGACGTAGTATTACAGTTGGAGATTATGAAGGTGAATATATTGGTAGAAATAGCAATTATTGATATGACTGAATTGCTATAAAGAAGAGACCAATAAGGTGAAGGAAGAAATTATAGTTTCCTTGTGTATTCACATATTGAAAATAGAGATGATACATTCAGGAGGTAATTGATTGTGTGACCCTAACGTGAACGCTTAAGCAATTAGTCATTCTCCGTATTTGAATCCTCCTATATGGATTTATTCCTATTAGATTAATTTGAAATAAGTAAAACGAGTAATCATACGATAAAATTGAGATGAAGATCCTCAAGAACGACATGTCTTTCTTCAAATAAATGGCGAGATATAATGTGTTTGGTATCATGACCTTGGAAGAGAATCTCAATATTTAGTGATTTTATTAGAAGTAGGAACTACTCTTGTCGGTGTTCCAAATATTTTATGTGAAAGAAGTTATAAAGGCCTTAACAATAATCAAATAATAGTGTGGTCTTTCGCCCTAGTATGGGATACTATAGATGGTTGAGAGGACCTATCAACCATCTTCAAAGGGAGCAAAGATTGGAGTATGTAGCAAATATAATTTGCCACATCTTGGACTTCGTCAACATATGAAGACCACTCCTTGTGGAACTCGTCCCTAGAAACGAGGGTAATGTCACGGACATATATATTTACCTCAATAGTTACCTATATGATTAAGTAGAAGTAGGTAAAATAAAATAATTTCATAAAGTCTTCTAGAATAGCTTCCTAGAAGCTTCACAGACTCAGTTTTGACTTTAGATGTGTTCGTAGGTTAGAAACTTGGCCAAAAAGCTAACCATGTATTTATAGCTTGTGGAACAAGTTACCTCCGTGTAGTAGCTTGTTAAACATGCCAATTATATGGTGCATACATAGATAACTTGCCTTGTAAGATAAGACATATGGCTAGCAAAGTCAATACATGTTGGAGGTCTTGTAGGACATTGCCACGTGGCTCTTAGTTAGATAGTATACATGGAGACAAGAGTGAAGCCTTCTTCACTCTTGTCAACGCCTTTCTAGTCTTAGTCTTGTTTCAAGACTTTCAAGTCTTCATATTTTGGACAATAGCCATTCTAGTTAATATTATATCACCTTTTGAATGAATTTTTAGTTCTCTTTAGTGATAGAAGAGTGTATTGAGGATTCTCTTTCTTCGAGATTCATATCTTTGATACAAAGCACAATTACACATTCTTCAAATTTGTCACAACTTTTGAATAATTAGATATTTTGAATACAACAAGACTTTGGAGCTAATATCAAGAAATTTTTAGTAGCTTCAAATAAAAAAGGCAATCAAAAACTTTGTACAATAATTTAATATTTTTCAAGATAAAAAATTCGTTAATATTGACCTTATTGACTTCTTCAACCAATACAAATTTTGAAACAACTATGGTCGTTTGTTTCTATGGATTTTATCCTAGATCTTTCAATCTTATATTTATATAATTTTATATTTGAGATAATAGATTATTTTACTAAGATAGTATATTTTTCACCACATATATAATCTATCACCAATGAAGAAATAGCTAAGTTTTTTTTTTGACATCATCTATTGCTATTATAGATTACTTGAAGATACTATATCAAATAAGGAGACTTAATTTGAATCAAGGTTTTAAAAAATCTTTTTTAAAATTTTAAAAGTAGACATAAATCTATCTTTGTCTTTTTATCATTAAATCAATAGACAAACTAAACAAGTATATCAAATTTTGGAGCAATATTTGAAATATATCATCAACTACCAATAAAATAATTGGACAATTTTTTTACTATTAGCATAGTTTGATTATAATAATACTATATATTTTTCTATTAAATAAACATCATTTTTTATTAATTATGATTACCATCTACAATTTGATATTTTTTACTTTTCAAAAGTTGATAATTTTATTGTAAAATATATGCTAAATCATATGTCTGAGCTAAATACAATAATAAAGGTATTATTTAAAGAAATTCAAGAAAGATAAAAGATCAATGTAGATGCCTATTGTAAGAAACAACTTCAATTCCACTTTGACAATAAGCTATAGTTACTTCATTGCACTATTAAGATTAATTGTTTTTATAAAAAATTGGATTATTATAGGTTTAGATCATTTCTTATTTGTAAATAAATCAATCTATTTTCTTATAAATTTTATCTATCAAAGTCTATGAAGTTTTATTTTATATTTCACGTGTTTTTTTTTCTAAATCATATAAGACAATGAATATCTTGAAAAGAAGATAAATGCCAATTCTACCTATAGAAGTAGATAATAATCAAAAATTCTAAATAAAAGAAGCCTTAGATTCAAGGTGGCATCAAAATAGGTTGGAATATCTTGTTCATTAGTGTGGTTATGATATTAGCAAATGTACATGAAAACTAACAAAGAATCTTATAAATGCAGGAAAAAAAAGTTGATGTTTTTCATCAACAATATTTATCAAAATCAAGATGAAAAATAATAAATCTTTTTTATAAAAAAATATCGTTTAGGAAAGATAATATATTTTATCTTCTATCTTTGTTTGTAATTCATGTATATTTATAGGACTTAATAGATGAAAATCTAATAACCAACAAATTCAACTTAATAACTATTATTTGCTAACTTATCAAATGAGATATTGTAATTGTCACAATCTTCAAGATTGTATAGTCAACATAAAGACCCTCAAAAACAACAAGTTCTTCCTTGAATACATGGTGAGATACAACTTATTTGATATAATAACATTAAAAGAGATTCTCAATGTTTGATGATTTTATTGAAGGTAGAAAAAAGTCTTCATGATCTTACATATGTAATGTAATGACTCATAAAAGTATTGAGATTTTTTTTTTTTCAAAATTCATATCCTTAATATCCAAGTCTTTCCATTTTTATAATAAATATATAGTTAATTAACATTCTTCAAAACAAGCATCAATAAGCCTTTCATAAAAACTTATATCATCTTTTTTAACTTCATCAAATATAACATTACACACAAAATGTACAATGCCTTCAAATTCTTCTAAATAATACATTGTTAGAACCTCACTTGTCACATTGCAAAAATTCATTAAATCTAAAAGAATTTCTCTAAATATTTTTTTATTCTTTATATGAAAGATAACTGCTTCACATCATTTTTTATCTACACAATTTTTAAAAAATAAGTAGGTTTTTTTACTACATGTAACTCAACAAACATGAGACATTACTTTCTAATGTTATTATTGTAAGTCAATAACTTGTAAAATACTCTTATTACATGCTTAAGTTGCATGTGTAAATTTGTACATTAATTTCTATTCAACATGCATTTTGTCTTCAATAAATCTTTCATTCTTTCTATGAAGATTTGACATTACAAAATAAATACTTTGTACCTTCATATGTTCTTTTTGCAATGAAAATGTAAGTCCTTACTAACAATCCATTGAATAATTGGCCATAATAGATTACTTATAGATACATAAGTCAAATCTATTAATTACTCAATTAAGACAATTAAACATAACAAATATAATAATTAAGACCTTTATATCTTATATCAATGCATATTTTTATTAGATCCAAACATTAATCTTCAAATATATCAAATACTGTATCCAATATATGATGTCCAAAATCCACTTTACTAATATGTCAAAACTTACAATTCTAAATACTTTAAATACTTGTATGAAGGATTTCTAATTTTATAAATTGAACTTAAAATCATACAAACATAATCGCTACATGAAGTGCTAAATTATACACTCTTCTTCATAATGAATTACACTTACCATTTAATCCTACACATGCTCTTTTCAATCTACCCTTCATATATCCTTCTTTATTCACTTGCCATTAATATCCCATGTTTTCATAATCAATTCTTCTTCTATTCTATACAAGCTTTTGAATTCATGAGGCATTACCATCATATAAAAATTATAGATTCATTTCTTGTCAAACTTTACTTAGTTATATACATTTCATTTTCACTCTACACAAAATACAAAAATACTATTCATGCAAAAGTAAACAACACATTTTGTAACTTATTAAATTCAATTTAAATTACCTCCACATTTTCTTATAGATTCTCACAATCTCACATGAATATTCTTTATTGTCAATATTTTATACTACAAATATCTAATCTCACAATCTCACATGAATATTCTTTATTGTCAATATTTTATACTACAAATATCTAATCTCACAATCTCACATGAATATTCTTTATTGTCAATATTTTATACTATAAATATCTAATGTTAAAACAATCACCATAATAAATAGTCACTTCATTTGAATGACTCATCAAATGCTCACACCTAGATTTATAACTAAATATCGCTAGCATTATTTTTTCCACATAGCATCCAATGCCTTCACTATCAATGATTTCTATGTAATGCAAGTTAGTTCCTTCATACAAATCAATATTACAATAAATTTCTACAATTCACATCAAACCCAATCTTCTACAAAATCCACAACAACCGCCCCTTTGTCCCACACGATCAACACAACCACACCAAAACTCACAAACACACCTCGCATGCCCTCTATCACATGTAATCGTGACAAGGCATCAACCACGACTGCAAAACCTATGCACACCCGTGTAAAGCAACTACTTCATTACCCACCAACTAATGTTGTGAAACTCCGCATCGAGCCTCGCCGCAAACCCTCACCCATACATGCAATTCAGCATAGACAAGATTTCATGCGCACCGGCCAGGTAGAGCTGTTGTCATTGTATCGTTTCAAATCTCGTCGATGCCTTGAGGCTATAATCCTCCAACACTTGCACTCACGCTACAATCCCCTCAACCCACGACATCCTCAGCAAAGCACCCCCTACACCTGGATTTGAACTGCCCCACACGACACCATCTTCTGAACAACAAAACCTCCACAAGTGACTAATGTGCTGGTTCCAATTGCACGAGCTCCGGAACAAAATCACAGCACGAAAGGAATAGCTTGCGCACAAGCAACAGAGCACACAGCATGTGGTGAGAGCGACTACAACAAACAACCCTAGCCAGCCCGTGATCAGGATCCAGACACGTTGTGGATATAATCGGTAACGAATGGTGGCCGGCCCACATCCAAGGACGCATGAAAACATTGCTCAAAACAATTCTCTATTACTGTCAGTTGCATGCAAGACAGTGCACTTGTGAGATGCGAGCTGATGTTTGAACAATTTCGTATCAATGCCATCACGCCGCTGATCGGAAAGTGATAACTTTATACGAAAAAAACACTACTCATGCGCAAAGTTGAAATAACACATTCTTATATCCTAACTTCTAGTGCCAACACAATCCTCCTGTCTCTAAAACCACAACAAAGCCGTCACCAAACTGCTTTCCTGCAACAGCATCCCACTCAACTCTAATCGCGTGCACAAGCAAGGAGATCAGTAATCCGCCAAAGGAAAGGCAATTATCTTCAAAACCCACAACATGAACACCATCGTCCACTCTGCCCCTCACGACCACCACAAACACACCAAAACTCACAAGCAAATCTCAGACGCCCTCCATCGCATGCAATCGTGACTGAGCAGCAACCACAACAACAAAACCCCTGCAGACTCAGCAGAGCAACTTCGCCACAGCCCACCAACTGATGGTGTGAGCCTGTACATCGACCCTCACAGCAAACCCTCACCGACACAGGCACAGCGGCAAAGCTATTCTTCATACGCACCGTCCAGGTATGGCTGTTATCTCCTTATCGCTTCAGATCCCGTCAAGGCCTTGACGCTGAATCCTCCAAAACTTGCACTCACGCTGCAGTCCGCTCAACCCACGACACCCTCAGCTTAACAAAGTGCTCCCCCCTCTGATCCGAACTCCTCTTCACACCAGCCTCTTTTGAACAACGAGACATCTACAAACGACTGTCGCGGTGGCACTACTCGCACGAGACTCAGCACGAAATCGCAGCACGAGAAGAACAGGTAGTGTAGAAGCAACAGAGCACAGCGATATGGTGAGGGCAAGCAAAGCAACACTGAACTCGACGAGCTTGTCGGAGGCCGGTCTCCATCTGAGACAGTGATGAAGAAGTGGCGGTAGGATGGTTTTCCACGGATGTACAGGCTCACACCATCAGTTGCATGTGAGTATGGAGTACCAGTATTAAAATTAAAAATAAAAATAAAAAAAGCGAATTTTTGGGCAACATCGCTGTAGTGTCATCACACCGCAGCTTAGAAAACGACATCAGAGCTAACAGAAGTTTCCAAATATGGAGGCCGGAGGCAGCAAGCATGATTCTTGTGTCAGATTCGACGCATGAGTTCATGTTCACTTTGAATGATTCGGTTTCCACACGACGTGTTCTTTCACTCTTTGAAAATCTTTCTGAATGAAGACCTATATATATATATATGTGTGGATATATGAAAAACAAACACTCCCATATATATATATATATATATATTCACTACACACATATAATTCTTACAAATTCTGCCATAATTTCATATAACAATACATATTTCTCTAAGTTTGAAGAGAGGTTGTCAGCGTGTTACCAAAGACTCGACACAAATTTGCTTCTAAACCCTACTCTAGATAAAAGTCATGAAAGCTTTTAATCGCTGATAATTGAAAATTACAAGACAAAAGACTTATGATTGGTTTTGCAAATGGTGGTTAGAACTGTGTATATCAAAGCCCTGATATAACATAATAGATAGATTTTTATTTGAACTTTATAAAATAAACCCTAAAGACAATTATTCAAGTAAAAGTATTTTAATTCAGATTTTAAACTATTTTTTCTTTTTTAATTTTGATTCGATTTTATTACAATTATATTTCTTAATTTTTTGTTATAGTTTATTTGTAGAAAATATTATTATTTACAATTTCTTTTTTGTACAATGTGTTTGTAATAAAATCATTTTTATATTATATTATGCTATTTGTGTATAATAAAAATGATTCATTTCCTTTTTACTTAAATTGTATATGTGATTTGTTAATGATAATGATTTAATAGAAGTGATTGTATTAATTACATTTTTTTATACTTTGAACTGTACAATAAATTTATTTAAGTTATTAAATTTATTTTTATATCTAAAAAATAATAATCATCTATAATTTTATTTATTTATTTATATATAATGTTAAAATTTATTTTTCAAATATATCAACATAATGCTAATTTAAAACTTGTTTTTTTTGCTTTTACTAGTGATGGAAAGAAAACAAATGTTATGCTAAATTGCTAAGTTAACAAATCTACTTATCAACAAGTTTGTATATATAATAGAGAAAAAAACCAATAATTATCATTCATAAGATAAAAGTGAAGTGGATAAACAAAAGTCCTCTAAAACTTGGCTTGTATATTATTTAAAGAACAAGAATAGAAAATATTTTAACATAAGAAAATAAGATTTAGTTATATTAGATAATGATTTATTTTGAGATAAACACCTTAAATAAAAAGTTAATCAAATATTATTACAAAATAAATTGAAAAATTAGTAAAATAATAATTAAAGAGAATATAATTTTAAAAATTAAAATTGAGATTAAAACATTATATTCTAAAAATAATTCTTTTTAATATAAAATAATAATTAAATAAAATAAAACATAAAAAAAATTATTAATAATAAATCTATAATAATAAAATAAGTTAAATAATTAATTTGATCTAATGATAAGATTAGCATCAAAAAAGTAATATAAAAAAAATATTTAATCAACTTATTTAAATATTAAATCTTTACACCTTAATTTTATAGTTCAGTTTAATCTTTGTAGCTACTTCTCTAATTTGAAAATGGGAACACTTGAAAATTCATTTATTTGATTCTTTTTTAATCTCTTGGCAAATTTAAAGATGTACTGACCATGTTTTATAGCACAAAGAAGGTAGAGAGCAAGAAAAAAAAAATAGGAAGAAGAAATGATATTGAGTGAGAATATGTCTCTATATTATATGACTTAGAATTAATATTATATATATATATATATATATTTATTTTAATAATTACTTATATAATTAAATAGAAATAAATAAATATAGATTAATTTTATAATATCTTCTAGAAAAACTTTATAAATGTGATTTTGACTTTATAGTATTTGTAGTTGATTAATAAGTTAGAAATTTGGTCAACAAATTAATCATGTACTATACATGTTCATAGCTTGTGGAACAAGCTAACTATATAATACACATATAAAAAAATTTGCCTTGCAAGTTAAGTAATGTGTCTAATAAAGTCAACATGAATTGAAGGTCCTATAAAACATTGTTATGTAGCTTTTAACTAGATAGTGTATGGAAGCAAGTCTAAAGCTTTTTTCAATCTTTTCAATGCCTTTTTAGTCTCTACTCTTGTTTCAAGACTTTTTAGTTTTCTTATCTTTGGCAATAGCCATTCTAGTTTAATATATTACCAACTTTGAGTGATTTCCTTGTCTTTTTAAGTAATAGAAGAATATATTGAAGATTTCTTTTTTAAAAATTTATGTCCTTAACAATTTGACAAAAGTTCTAATTTATTGTTCTTGTCTCGTTTTAGAAGTGAATGGATTACCTCACTTCTATTTTTTGTTTTAAAGATTGTGGATTATCTACTTTAAAATAAAATATTTAATTTTTTAACATTGATTTTTTTCTTAAAGAGAGCAGATTATCCTTCTTTGTAGAAATTTTTATTTGATATTAGAGGTTGTAGATGATCCTTCTGTAATTTGATTTGTGGATTTGTTAAGTTGTTTGAAATAGATAGAAAAATTATGGATGAAACACTTAGGAGAAGTGAGAATAGATTTGCAATTATTACAGTTCTTTATAAAATTCTCAATATTTTTAAGACAAAAATTCCATTTATTTTCAATATAAATCATAGAGATATTATTCCTACACCTATAAAAGAAGTCATCAATAAAATTCAAAGTTTGCGCTAAGAAGTTATATAATTAAGAGAGACAAGTAAATATTAGGGATATAGTCCTTAGAACCTTCTAGAGACAAGTTTCTAGAACCTTCTAGAAGCAAGTCTCTAGAACCTTCTAGAAGCTTTCTAGTTAGTAGAAGTTACTTGAAACGCTTCCTAAATAGAGGTATATATTAGAATCGAGGCTGAAGAATTCTTCAGTCTCGACAACACATCTCTTGGAGCTCTAGCTCACCTCTCTGGTGTTGTTCTTGTATTCATTTGATTAATCTAGTTCTTCCGAGTTCTTCTTGAACTTCTTGTTAGATCTCAATTTTGTATTTCTTTGTCCGTGACAGTTTGTCGAGACTGCACTCACCTCAGATATCAGAGCTAGTTTCTTCTTTGTTAGAGTGTGGATTACCCCTTTGCTTGGAAGTGTACTAGCATTTTAGAGGTTGTGGATTACCCTCCTCTAAACTGATATTTCTTTTGTTATAATATTGGAGTCTTATTCTTCTTGGAGAGAGTGGATTACCCCTTTTCTTGAAGCTCTTAAGGCATTTTAGAGGTTGCGGAGTACTCTCCTCTAAACCAATATTGTCTTCTTGTAGAGTCATTTCTGTCCTTCTCTTAGAATGGCCGGAGGCTAAGACATTAGTATGATGAAAAGTTTGGAGTCCAATTTGGATACTATCATGAATGCCCTCGCTACGTTATCGCAAAGAACTGCAGAGATTGAAGGAGTCGTGGCAAGGCTTCATAATAATAGAGCATCTAGGATGGCACAATCTAGGTTGCACCAGCCTCAAACTTCTGCACTTGGAGAAGCAACTTTGCCTCAAGTTCAACAAGCACCGCTGGTTCTACAACATAAAGAGCCCCGAGTTAGCCTTCCAGACAAGTTTGATGGTACGCGTTCCAAGTTTCGAGGATTCGGCAATCAAATCAGGTTGATAACAGTTTTACAGCCCGAACGCTATCCAATGGAGGAGTCACGTGTTGGGCTTGTTGGAACCTTACTTACAGGACAAGCTCTATCATGGTTTGCTCCTTTGTTTGAGAAACGATCGTCCATACTAAACAAGTTTGAAACCTTTTTGGAGGCGTTTGCAAAAGCATTTGGTGAACACGACAAGGTTCAATGGGCTACAATAAAAATCCAGTCACTACGATAAGGGATGCGCTCTACATTAGTCTATGCATCGAACTTTAGGCAATTAGCATGCGACATCAATTGGGACGAAGAAGCGTTGATTAGTCAATTCTATTGGGGTTTAAGGGACGATGTGAAGGATTTGCTGTTAACTCTTCCTGATCCACAAACGCTGAATGAAGCTATTAGCCAAGCTGTGAAGTGCAATAACCGCCTATTTCAATGCCACCAAGACCAACGTTCAAGCCAACATATGATTTGTCATGTCCCAACTATGTCAACAAGCAGCGTGAATTCACATTCAGAGATAGGAGACATGCAAATTGATGTGGTACGTATCAAATCTCTTACTCTAGAAAAAAAAAAGTGGCGCATGGAGGAAGGTCTATGCTTGTATTGTGGTGAAGAAGGCCACAAAGTTGGAAACTGTTCCAAGAAGCAAAATCGACGTATTGTCAAGACTAGGGGCACGTTTGTTCAGGAAAATGAGGATGCCCAGCCACAATAGGAACCGTGCGGCTAGACAGTGAAATATCGCAACAACAACCAGGTTCCTTTCTTTCCGCTCAACTTGCCCTTTGCTTTACAATCTCTTTGCTTATTGGCCCTCAAAAATTGAGAACCTTAGTATTATTAGATTCAGAAGCATCTGCTTGTTTCTTAGACAAAGAATTTGCAAAGCGTCATAAGATCCCTTTAGTACAAAAATCCAAACTTGTTCACGTTGAGGTCATAGATGGGTGACCTTTATTGTCTGGGAGTATCACCCATGAATCAGAACCTATAGAAGTGATGTTTAAGGGCCATAGTAGTCATATTATTTTTAATATTATTAGAACTCCATCAAATCCTGTTATTCTTGGTCTTTCTTGGTTGAAAAAGCATAATCCATCCATAGATTGGAAGTTGCGGAAGATGACCTTTTCCACAAAACCATCCAAGAGTAAGCCTAGTAGAAAATCCCGAATAGAAAAATCTTTATTCATTGGAGCAAGAGCGTTTATAAGATTGTCCAAGGAAGGTAC